TATCAAAGTATGAAAAAAATCTGTTCTTTGATTAAACCTCTGCAAATCTATGTAAAAGAAATGATACCCCATAAAAAGACAAAAGAAAAGAAAAAGCCTCAACAATATTATGTACATTTTATTGCTTCTTTGTATTTGAATATTCATTTTTGTGAAATTTATCAAGCTACATTGTGTAAGATAAATTTGTTTCACAGGTGCATTCCATGGCAGAACCATGGGATGTCTTTCAGCAACCCGTTCCAAAGCCATCCATAAGATTGACATCCCAGCTTTGGACTGGCCCATGGCAAGATTCCCTCAGTACAAATATCCTCTGGAAGATTATGTACATGAGAACCAACAGGAAGATGCAAAATGTCTGGAAGAAGTAAGTTTTAGTATAAAGAAAAAATACTGAGATATTTGTATTTTTAATAAATAAGAAGAAACCCAGCTTGAGATACTTCATGGTATATACTTTTGTCAAATATTGTGACAAGATATTATTCTAGCTACACTTAATGTAAGCTAGATTTTTTTGTTTCATTTGAGATCTGTATTTCAGACAGAAGATCTTATTCACAAATATAATGCTGCTGGTAAGCCAGTTGCAGCTATAGTGGTAGAGCCCATACAAGCAGAGGGAGGTGATAATCATGCATCGCCAGAGTTTTTCCAGGGATTACAGCAAATTGGCAAAAGGGTAAGTAGTTAAGATCTACATATATAATTTTTTAAATGAGAATATTGTAGAGGAAGGGCAGTTCAATGTTTTGTGAAATAATGTCCACATATTTTTTCACCCTTAATTCAGGTTACTGTCTGTGCAAGACGACATATAGTAAAGTAATAAAGAGATATTGTCTCAATTTCTTTTTTTAGAATTAAATGTCAAATCATTCAATATTTATTTCAGTAATATATATAAAAAATGAAGCCAGATTTAGTAGTAGCCATCTTTGATCTCCCCAAATATATAGATTTTACACAGAGATAAAACCAACAGACATAATTTTTATTTGTGTATATGTAAATGGATGTGAATTTAATATTTTAATCAAACAATTTGTTTATCTGACTTTCAGATCATTTATGTTGTTAATCTAACAGACAGGTGCAGCACTCTTGATAGATGAAGTACAAACTGGAGGTGGTCCCACTGGAAAGATGTGGTGCCATGAGCACTTTAACCTTCCAGAAGCTCCTGATATTGTTACATTCAGTAAGAAGATGCTTACAGGAGGATATTACTTCAAAGAAGAGTTCAAGTAGGGATATAAAACAGACTATGTTAGATATAACCAAAGTGGTGTATGCATGCTTGCTTGTAAATAGATATGACATTTCCTGCTGAAGTTAAGTATACGAGAGTCAAGATGGGTGTTCATTCATTATATCAGGGTGGAGTTCAAATGTGGCTAGAATGATGCATAACATAAAACTCATAAGAAAGTTGGATCATTGATTTAAATTTAGGGAGAGGGAAAGTTCTGCTGCTGAATGACTAGAACAGACTCCAACCTTTCTGTGTGTGTGTGTGTGTGTGTGTGTGTGTGTGTGTGTGTGTTTGTGTGTTCTTACCTAGTTGTTCTTATCTAGTTGTTCTTACCTAGTTGTTTCAGTACAAGATGAGAGCTAAGCTCAAATGGTATATTTAAAATATCTTATAACTTTTTTAAACTGATGCACATTTTTGGCTTACACAATGTTCTTTGGAAGATTGTTTTAAGTTTCAGTAGTTCTGTTTGGGAAATTGAACTTTTTGACAACTTTCTTGCTTCTTTTCACTTTCAATTTTTTACTGTGTCCTCTTGTCTTTCTGTGTTCAAAATTATAATAATCTTTATCTAACTTCACTCTTCCTGTAACAGAATTGAACATCATAATCATGTTTCTACTAGCTCGCATACTACTCTAGTTAATGAAACTGATATATAATTTAGAGGGTTTTGTCTGTTGTTACTTTTATATAAAGGTGTAACATTGGCAAGTTTCAAAGCTTTCAGGAGTTTATATTGTCTCACTGAATTTTGGAATATTAACAGTAAGGGAGTACATAGTTTTTTGGCGCATTCCCTCAGTACCCAGTCAGATATCTCATCTGGTCCCTCTGCTTTAGTTGTATCTAACCCTTTTAGTATATTATTTCATTCTTTTTGAGTACGATATTTTCAATATTATGATTTATGTTTGTATGGTTACTTGCCATTTCAAAGTTTGGGTCCTGAACAAATACTGACTGAAATTTTTAATTAAGGATTTCACATATTTCCTCTTCCTTAGCATAAACAATGTTATTGTCTTTTATGGCTCTAATTTGGTCTCTACTTTTAGTCTTACTATTTATGTAGTTAAAGAAGAACTTTGGTTAATTTGTACATTTATTGATAATATCCTTTCCAAAGTCTAATTTTACCTCCCTCATTGTTTGGATATACTCACTTCTTCCCACCCTATATATCTTTTATACACTGCCTGAGATCTATGTCTTCTGAACGTTTTCCAGAGGAGTTATTTATTTTCTCTGAGCCATTTTTGGCCATTTCTTGCATTAGTTTTGAATCTTGATACAATTTTTTCTATTCCTTTTTTATAGACTTCACAATATTTTGAACATTGCATATCAAGATTCTTTTCATTCAGGAGTGTTTCCCAGTTTATGCCATCAAAGAAATCTTTAAGGCTTTTATAAGGACCTATCTTGCCATTGTATTTGTCTTTTCTTTCTTTTCTTTCAGTGAGTTTCTCCTATAGCATACAGTATCTTAATTTAATTACTACATAGTCACTTTTTCCTAGAGTAGGACTGTACTCCATATCCTTAATGTCTTCTATATGCTTTGTAATTATGAGGTCAAGCATAGATGGTCTCTCTAGCCCTCTTACCCAGGTATGATCTGTTACATTTTGGAAAAGACAGAAGTCATTTATGACTTCTTGTAAGTATGCATTCCACAAATCTGGCTGAGCTTCTAGGATCAAAACTTTCCCAATCAGTTTTTCTACTAAAATCTCCTGTTACAAGTTTTTGAAAGTTGTAGCACTTTTTCTAGACTTTTTAACATTTCTTGAATAGGTTTTTGGAAATTTTCTTATGATCACAACAGTGTATGAGGTAGCATGTACAATGTGGTTATTATTATGTTTACTCTGTTTATATCTACCTCAATTGCCTTTAGCTCTTCTTTGGGGTCTCGCTTAATCTCTAACTCCTTTATAATAATTCCTTTCCTTATTAATATTGCTACACCCCCTTCATTTCCATTTTACCCTATCTTTTCTCCAAATGTCATACTGAGTCCTAATCTTACATGTTATAGAGGGACCCAGTTTGGATTCAGTAATGCATATTATATCTGGTTTAGTAATTTCAATAACTGTATCTATTTTTACTAACTTCGAACATAAACCATCTATATTTGTATAAACTATATCTATATAATCTTTCAGTATTCTTTTTGGCTGCATGGATAATGCTTGTATGTCTCCACATCTTGGTTCAGTACTCATTTTGCTGGGAGGTCTCTCACCCTCCAAATGAACAAGTTTTTTTTCTTCAGTCCTTTGTTCATTTTTGCTTTCTACCTCTTCCAATTTTTTCTTCAGTATTTCTCTGTCAACTTTGGTCAGATTTTCTTGTGTCCAGATTTTGTTATATTCTTTATATGTGTGTGTGTGTGTGTGTGTGTGTGTGTGTGTGTGTGTGTGTGTGTGTGTGTGTGTGTGTGTGTGTGTGTGTGTGTGTGTGTGTGTGTGTGTGTATGTGTGTGCGTCTGTCATAGAGATCTAACCAGTACCAGGAAATGTCAGAAACTCTAGCTGCTTTGAAATAGTTTTTTTTCTTATTCTTTGCCAGTCATATTCATGCCAGCAAGTATATAACATCACAAATTCACCCTCTTTACTCTTGAAAGTTAATATGCAAGCTTGATGCTCTACTTTTTATGTTTTTGATATAAAGTAAGATATTAAGGATAATTTCATGCCAGTTGGTGCACATAATTTGTACATTGAAAAAATAATGCATAAACTAAGCATACTTAAATTAATACAAAAATGCCTTTCATAGTAATACATAAGAATCTATATATACTTTCTTAAATATAACTAAGAACAAACAGAGCTCCATTCTTTCTAATTATATAATCATATTCTAGATACATCTATACACTTCTTTTACAGACCACCTCAGGGCTATCGTATTTACAACACCTGGATGGGTGATCCTTCAAAGGTGATCATGCTGGAGGAGGTTATCAGAGTTATCCAGCGTGACCGTCTGCTAGAAAATGTTAATGAAACAGGAGATATACTCATGAAGGTAATTTAACCTGCTTACATATATCCATGTGTGTGTGTGTGTGTATGTGTGTGTTTGTGTGTGTTTGTGTGTGTGTGTGCATGTGTGCGTGTATTCAAGGGCATCAATTGGGGGGAGCTTTTATAGCTCAAAAATACCCCGAGAGTAGCTCATTTTTCTATATTATGCTTGCTTCGCCTTTATCAAGGAAGGGCTGAAATGATGCACCTATATGTGTGTGTGTGTGTGTGTGTATGTGTGTGTGTGTGTGTGTATGTGTATGTGTATGTGTGTGTGTGTGTGTGTGTGTGTGTGTGTGTGTGTGTGTGTGTGTGTGTGTGTGTGTGTGTGTGTGTGTGTGTGTGTGTGTGTGTGTGTGTGTGTGTGTGTGTGCATGTATGTGCCCAGTCTAAAAATAGTGGCTTGATGATCATACTGGAGCTATGATTACAAAAATCAAGCAAAGGTTACAGTCAAATAATTTCCTTTTTTTACTTTTTTATTTCATACTTGATAACAGCATTTACTAATATCTGTCTTGCAGGGTCTGACAACTCTTCAGAATCAGTATCCTCAACACATCAATTCGACTCGAGGAAGAGGAACATTCATTGCATTTGATGGAACAGATGCTGCAAAACGAGACTCCATTGTAAACAAATTAAAACTACAAGGTTGGTGAATTATATATTTTTTTCTTTTCTTTTCTTTCTTTTTT